TCGTCGAGCTTCAGCTTCCATCCCTTAAGACAATAGTATATGACAGCATGATAAATTACATATCATTGTCTGATTTGAGAGATATTATTAAGTGATGGAACTCTCATTTGGCTAAATTCTTGGATGCGGTTAATTATTGGACTTATTCTGGAAACAAGAAGCCAAAGAAGTTCAATATTACAGTTATCAGAGACGAGACCGCGCCACAACAAACGCAAGAAGCCATAGGGGATTGTGGTCCTCTCTTATGTATGTGCTTGGAGCGTTTGACGACAGGAAGTACAGAGTTTCTACCTCCCACCGATAGAGATAGAGGTGCAGTAGGCTTGGGGTTTTCGGCATTTTATGGCTAGAACGATATATGCGAGACGCTGCCTACCTGCATCCGCGTTATGAAAGTGTCCATAAACAATTGGTAAGTCAAATGCAAGTGTTGTTAAGTACCTAGAATTTAATATAATTTGTTGTTTGTTGGTTTTAGATGTGTAGAAAGTGTTGTTTGAGCAAATGTTTGGTTTCTGCAGGTTAATCCTGAAGTGAGCTGCGTGAAGTTGATGTGCATAAATAACTGTCTGGGGTACACTTTTTTTTATTGTAATTGATTCTTAAAAGTCTTACTTGTTTAATTGATGAGAAAAATAATATAATAAGAGTTGATTTGTTTAATTGATGTGTAAATAATTCTTATTTGTTTAATTGGTGTGTAAATAATTATTATTTGTGCTTGTTTAATTGATTAAAAGTTGATTATTGATGTGTAAATAATTCTTATTTATGCTTGTTTAATTGATTGAAATGTAAAAGTTAATTTGTTGATTTCAATATACATCATATTCGCGTTGCGATAGTCTAATACACTTTGCGATTTCCTCGTTGCGATAGTCAAATTCCCGTTGCGATAATCAAATTCGCGTTGCGATAGTCATTTCGTGTTGCGATTATCTAATTACGATAGTCAAATTCACGTTGCGATAGTTAAATTCGCGTTACGATAGTCATTTTCGCATTGCGATTATCCCGTTGCGATAGTCATTTTCGCATTGCAATTATCCCGTTGCGATATTCAAATTCATGTTGCAATAGTCATATTCGCGTTGCGATAGTCATATTCACGTTGCAATAGTCAAATGAATGTGTAATAAGTGATAACAACTGAACAAATCATAACAATGTTCAAACTCAAGTTACTAATATACATGGGCCTAACTGAAAATGTTAAAAGTTTACATATAAAATACACATAATACAACGTTTGCATTTAAAAATCACCTAAGTTAATAGTCCCAAAAGGTGAAGCCGGTTGTGATTGCGATTTTGATTGCGATTTTGATTGCCTTTTGCTTGACACCATATGAGCTTTGGATTTTGATGATGATCCATATTTTGGTAGAGGAAAAGATGATTGTGATGGCACTGGTGATCCACATGTCAATCTTGTATGACCACTTTCCTTTCGCCGACTACATGTCGATCTCTTCTTCTCTTCACCCTTAGACGGTATACGATCGTGACTTTTTGGTCGGCCAGGTAGCCTTCTGTCCATGGTTGGTGGCAAAACTGTTTGTAAGTCATCTGGTATGTCCCACTCAGAAGGATGTGGAATAGGGTAGATAATCTCGGTATAAGTCTGTCGATATACTTCTGTAGTGTAGCAATCCATAGCATATGCGCTTGAATCATCTTGGTTTAGATGAAGAGCAACTTTTATAACATGGCCACACGGATAACCAGATGTTTGCCATTTCATACAACTACACGTCTTTGCATTTAGATCGACAAGCGCATTTAAGTTATTATCCAGTACTTCAAACAAAGTGTTTGAACATGGTTCAACTCTCCATGACGTTGACTTCACAACACGTTTCGTTATCTTTTTTTCAGTCCATGGTGTAACACGATGTTCCAATGTTCCTGTAAATTTAAATAAATAATACTTAGTAAATTATATGATAAGTTACGAATTTAAAGAAATAATACCTGCATGGTTTCTTTTCTTGTAGTACCACTATTGAATAAAGGCTCAAAAAAACTCCATTAACATAGTAATGGGTAATTTTCGGGAATGACGACTTAGAGCGTTGATTGATTATACACTATTAGACGTCATGAAACCATATCTTGCTCCAAGTTGGTGTACTCTTGACCATCTTTCAAACTCGACATCTTCTAGTGTTTGAGCACACTGAGGCAAAACATGTCTTAAACAATTTATATGCTTATTAAAATCCACTTCCCGATAAGCTTTTACAGCCTTCCAGTATGTCCATTTGTGATTTTTTATACCAGCAGACCTTGATTTTAGATTTCTATATAATTGAACACCACAAAGTCCATGAAAAGCATCTGGGAAACACCTTCTAACAGCGTTGTCAATTGAGTTTGCCCTATCGGATATGATTGTCAGATTGCTAATAGGACCTATGTAATCCCTAAAATACCCCACAAACCATGTCCATGAATCAGAGGTTTCAGATTTTCCAACCCCGTAAGCTATTGGTAGTATCCCATTTTTAGCATCCATGGCTACTGCTAATAAGTTTACTCCAAGGTATCGACCTTTTAAATGTGCTCCGTCAACTATAATAATTTGGCGCATACAAGTAATAAACGAACGAATTTACAAAATCATATACATAAGAAACATAATCATTTAAATGTGAAATGCATGTAACTAACAAAAATGAGTCAACAAAATTATATTGATTTACTAACCGCATCACCAATGGCGATAAACAACAACTCAAAGCGTCCATCTCTATCTGTTTTGATATGAGTTACCGACCCATGATTTTTCAGCTTTAAATTGTGACAATAAGCCGGCAGTTGGGCAAACGATGCTTCTGGAGACCCCCTCAACAATTCCAAGGCATAACATTTGGCTCTCCAAGCTTGAGAATATGAGATACTAATCTTGAACCGAGCATTCATGTCAGTCATAATATCATGTCCCCGATATACCCTTCCATTCAAAAACATTAACTCAGCCAGAAAACCACCCAACACCTTTTTGTTTGCCTGTCTATGGTGAGGAAAAACTTGGGTTCTTGAACATGTATGTTTATCAATAAAAGTCCTAACTTGAAACATTTCGCAATCTTTTATCCTCTTTGCAATCATACGCCACGTACAGTTTTTGTCAATCATACACCTTGTTTCGAAACGATCTTTGCTTGATTTGTTAACTTTTAGTTGATAGTCATCTTCCACACATTTCGTATACAAAGCTATCTTCAAGTCTTCCTTTGTATCAAAACAATCATCTTTCTTGATACGAATAATTTTTGTGTAACAATCAACTGCTATTTTTACTAACTCTTCTTCCGGTATCTGAAGTAATTCTGGCATATTCCAGTTATACTCCCGTGGCATTTTCTTCGGGGACTTTTCTTCGGGGATTTCTTCTTCTTCTTTTTCTTCTTCTGGGTTATATGAATTACAGAATGGATGTTCAACATGTTCATTCACAGTCGTAACTTCCTCCTCATTATCATCAACAACATCTTCCTCGACAGCGGCTGTTTCATCATCAAAATTCGGGTATTGACCAATATCAAAATCATTACACGTAGGGTCTGTTTCTTCTTCTGAAACATCATCAAAATCTGAGTATTGACCAAGATCAAAGTCCGGGTATTGACCAAGATCAAATTTTGAATACCGACTAGTACTCACAATTTTTTCTGTTGGCTCATCATCGTCTAACTGGTTAATAAGAAAACCGAAATTTGGTGCTGAAAGTTGATTGGGATTTGGATTAGGGAAAGGTTGTGGGTTTTGAGATTGTGATTGATATTGGAAATGTGGTGAAACAAAATTTGCTTGGTGATGAAATTGTGGTGGAACCATTAAATTTTGAGCACCATAAACTGGGGTTAAAAAACTTAGTTGATTACTACCCGCTACTGACCCAACTTCACTAGTTCTAGGTTCAACAACATACAATGTAACATCATCTTGCGAAATACTAATGTAAGCAATGAATCGTTCAACATCTTCATTGTTGGTTAACAAATAAACTTTACCTTTTCTCTGATAAGATAGCCTAAATCCACTTAAGGGCTCTAAATTCAATTTATTTGTAACACGTAACATTAGAGTTTCATAAGTTAACTTTTTTAATGACAGTTTTAGTTAAAGATTCATGGGTAAAGACATATATTGTAAAACACCATGAACATTCTCCCATGACCCTCCAAAACACAAATCTATCCAAACATGATCAACATTAGATGATTTCATTATTGTAAATTAATTTACTAAACAAACGAGCTGCGAAACTAAAACCTGTTGCCGGATGGGGAAGGATGTCGTTGGATATAGGAACGGATGTCGCCGGAGAGAGTGATAGATGGAGATGGAATGAGTTGCGATTTAGGGATTTAGGTTATGAGTTGATGCTGCTGCGTAGTAGTTATATACCCATTTGTGTTGCGAAACTAAAACCTGTTGCGAATTTGAAATTCAGTGATGCGTTAGTCAGAATCGCGTTGCGATAGTCAGAATCGCGTTGCGATCACGTATTATCGCGTTGCGATAGTTAGAATCTCGTTGCGATAGTCAGAATCGCGTTGCGATAGTCCGAATCGCGTTGCGATAGTCAGAATCGCGTTGCGATCACGTGTTATCGCGTTGCGATTTATATATTCGCATTGCGATTTACATATTCGCATTGCGATTATCTAAAATCGCAACTCGGATTTCGAAAATCGCAATGCGATGGTCAAAATCGCGTTGCGGATATGGTAACTGAATTGCGATAATGGAGATCGCGTTGCGATTTAGAGATCGTATTGCGATTTTGTTGGTCATTTTGGCAAATCGTAAAAAAATTAGTTAAAATCATATATTATAAGAAATTTTCGGTCACTGAGATTATTTTCTCTAATTGTTATGACTAAGACATCCCACGTGCACACCCAATGTCCAAAGAGAGCAACAATATAAAGGGGCAAAAAAGAGCCAAAAAAACGGCTTTTTTGGGGTTCAAAAGGAAGGCCCTAACTCAGATTCGCTTCGGATCTGATTCATAGGCCAACATTCGCTTCATATCTTTCTTTATACTTTGTTATCTGATCTGATCCAAAACGAAACCACCCGGCCTTGAAAAATGACGCGCCGCTGCTCGCATTGCAGCCAAAACGGCCACAACTCCCGGACCTGCCCGAATCGTGGGGTTAAGCTCTTCGGAGTTCGTTTGACTGACGGGTTGATTCGGAAGAGCGCCAGTATGAGCAACTTATCCCAATTCTCCGGCTCGAATTCCGTTTCGCATAACGGGAACGGGTCTGGCTCCCCCGTTGAGGGTCCAGATCACGCCGATGGTTATGCTTCTGAGGATTTTATCCCTGGGTCGTCGTCCAGTCATGATAGGAAAAAAGGTTTCATAAGGGTGAAATTGATTTTTTTTTATTTGCGTAGTTGTTTTAAGTTTTTATCTTTCGAGTAATCAGAGTAAAGACCTTGAGTGATGGTATGCGGAAGTGTTCCAAATACTCAAGTATTTGCTTCAACTTAAACTTATATATATTGCTTTGGATAAAGTGATCTTGTGAGATTTTCACAGGTTTAGTTTATACTTCAATGTTTCTATGATGAAACAGTTTAGAGAGTAAGGTAAAGTTTTGTTTTTTCATGGTGGAGTTCAATTTATTCTTCCTTTTTGTCTTTTATCATTTGCTATTTTTCTTTTAATTGCAGGAAGTTGGGTTGTCGATGAATTAGGAAATGAAACAGATAATAATGATGTAGACGCTAGAATATGTAAAGATATGTGAAAAATGTGGATAAAGAACGATAGTAAGCACTGGGATATATATAATCTGAAATGTTAAACAGATTATCCAAAAGAATTGTTGATTATCATATTTATGCTCACTGAGTTTTGAACTTAATATATATATGTTTGTGCTTAGTAGTTGCCTACATGTTTCTAGTTTTGGATACTCTAAAAAATATCGATCATAGATATTTTCGCATGCAAAATTTAACATCTGGAATTTAAAAGGTATATTCATGGCTAAAAAATAGTATGGTAAGAAAGGGTGAAGTTTCTGAAAGGGTGAAGTTTCTGAAATTATTGAACTGGGTTGTAATTTGTTTTGCAGGTGTTCCTTGGACTGAAGAGGAGCACCGGATGTTTCTACTTGGACTGCAGAAGCTTGGTAAAGGTGATTGGCGTGGAATCTCTCGTAATTATGTTATATCAAGGACTCCTACGCAAGTAGCTAGCCATGCTCAGAAATATTTCATCAGGCAGTCCAACGTGTCTAGGAGAAAAAGGCGTTCCAGCCTTTTTGATATTGTAGCGGATGAAGTTAGTACCCTTCTCCCTGTGAATATGATACCTGAATTGTCATATATGAATTACAAATTTGACTCGGTAATTTTTGGTTTATTGTTGAGTCTCGAACTACTTTTAACCATTATAAGAATTGGAGTAGGTATGAATAGGATGGACATTTGAGGTTTGTATTATTGCCTGTGAAGTTTTTGCTTCTTTATTGTTGGGGTTATCATTAGTGCACTTATTCCCGAGTCGGAGAAATATAGCCTATTTTAATCGAGCTTTCTTGGAGGGTGTAGTTGTTCTATCTTGTTGTTTTTGAGATAATTGGTTTATGCCAATTACTTACTATATTCATATTAGTATTCTTCAGTGTGTTATTTTGTGGATGCAATTTGGTGAACATTTTTGTATCCACCACGTTTGCCCCCTTTTCTATTTGTCTAAATGGTCTTTTTCCTCTCTACTTTCTTGCAGTCTGGTGATACACCAATGGTATCACAGGATTTGTTCGCTGCAGACCCTCCGCAGGCTGAAACACAGAGCAATAACCAGTTTCCTATTCCTCCATTGGATGAAGAAGACAAATCAATGGACTCCAACAACTCGAATGACGGGGAACCTGTTCCTCCTACAACGATGGAGGGCTCACAACCCTGTTACCCAGTAGTATATCCTGCTTACTACCCACCATTCTTTCCTTTTCCATATCCATATTGGATGGGTTATAACACAGAACCAACCAAGACCGACACACATGAAGTGGTCAAGCCAACGGCAATACATTCAACTAGTCCTTTCAATGTCGACGAGCTGGTGGGTATGTCGAAACTGAGTTTGGGAGAATCTATTGGTGAGAATGGCTCAACCTCTCTTTCATTAAGACTTGATGGTTCATCCAGACAGTCTGCTTTCCATGCCAATCCGGTTTCTCGTGGTTCAAGTGGGAGCCCAATCCATGCAGTGTAAGACCCAACTTTATCTTCAAGTACCGCCTTAGGGGTTAAGATCAGGGTGTCTGTGAGCAGTACAGGTTGTTAATAGAACAATGATCATGTGCAGTATGCTTTTGACTTGGTCATACGTTTCTGTTGTGAAATCAACTAAAAAAGTTTGTTTTCTTTTTCTTCTGATTTTAAATTAAGTTCAATGCGTAGCTTTAGGCCGTGCTTAATGCATCTTATTATAAAATTAGGAATTGAAAGGAATTTAAAATTGGACAAATTGTTCTTTTAAAAAATAATTTTATTTCTATTAATTGAAAAAGTGAATGATTAAAGATAAATTAATCACAACATCAATATATACATATAATTTTGATTGAAATAATAATAAATTTAAATTTGTTATTTATAGGCACACAGTTGTTAACTCTCTTGTATCTTGATTCTTCCTTTTCTCACCTCTCTCTGTTTGTATTCCTCTGTTATTCAAATTTGACGTGGAAATTGGGTTTCATATTTAATATAATAAATTTATATTAATATAAGTATAACGTAAAGAACCTTTACAGTGGTCTGGTTAAAAGAATTTTATTCTCCTAATGATTTATATATGAGAAAATAACCTCAGTGACAAAAAATGTTTTATAATATACGATTTTAATCAATTTTTTTTAGATTTGCGAAAATAACTAACAAAATCGTAACGCGATCTCAAATTTCGCAACACAGTTTCCAAATTCGCAACACGAATATATAAATCGCAATACAGAAGTCAAATTCGCAACACAGACGTCAAATTCGCAACGCGATAGTCAAATTCGCAACACTGAAGTCAAACTCGCAACACAAAAGTTTTGCTACACTACAGAAGTATATCGACAGACTTATGCCGAGATTGTCTACCCTATTCCACATCCTTCTGAGTGGGACATATCAGATGACTTACAAACAGTTTTGCCACCAGTCATGGACAGTAGGCTACCTGGCCGACCAAAAAATCACGATCGTATACCGTCTAAGGGTGAAGAGAAGAGGATATCGACATGTAGTCGGTGCAAGGAAAATTGTCATACAAGGTTGACCTGTGGATCACTAGTGCCATCACAATCATCTTTTCCTCTACCAAAATATGGATCATCATCAAAATCCAAAGCTCATATGGTGCCAAACAAAAGGAAATCAAAATCGCAATCAAAATCAAAATCTCAATCACAACCGGCTTCGCCTTTTGGGACTTATTAACTTAGGTGATTTTTAAATGCAAATGTTGTATTATGCGTATTTTATGTGTGAATGCATACATTTTCAGTTATACATTCATTAGTAACTTGAGTTTAAACATTGCTATGATCTGTTCAGTTGTTATCACTTATCAGATTGTTGTCTGTTATCTTTTTAAAGGTATTTTCCTTGAATTCGCAACGCGAAAGTCAAATTCGCAATGATAAAATTGCAACACGAATTTGACTTTCGTGTTACGAATTTGTACTTTCAACAGGTCTTTTTTGCCTTCAACATAATGCAGGTTGAATTTAAAACAACAAATCAACTTTTACAAATCAACTAAACAAGCAAAAAAATAATTCTTATTTACACATCAAATTAAACAAATCAACTTTTACAAATCAATTAAACAAGCAAAAAATAATTCTTATTTCCTCATCAATTAAACAAATCAACTTTCAATGTAAAATTCAATTAAACAAGCAAAAAAAGTGTACCCCAGACTGTTGTTTATGCACAAATACATCAATTTCACGCAGCTCACTTCAGGATTAACCTGCAGAAACCAAACATTTCCTCAAACATTTGATCAAACAACACTTTCTACACATCTAAAACCAACAAACAACAAATTACTGAATTTTAGGTACTTAACCAAATATTTTCAAACCAATTAAAGAGTATATATGTTAACAACACTTGCTCAAACTTACCAATTGTTTATGCACACTTTCAGCACGTGGATGCAGGTAGGCAGCGTCTCGCATATATTGATCTAGCCATAAAATGCCGAAACCACAAGCCTACTGCACCTCTAACTCTATCTGTGGGAGGTAGAAATTGTTTACTTCCTGTCGTCAAACGTTCCAAGCACATGCATACGAGAGGACCACAATCCCCTTTGGCTCCCTACGTTTGTTGTGGCGCAGTCTCGTCTCTGATCATTGTAACTTTGAACTTCTTTGGCTTCTTGTTTCCAGAATTAGTCCAATAATCAATCGCAACCAAGTATTTAGCCAAATGAGCGCTCCATCCCTTTGTAATAATATCTCTCAAAAGAGACAATGATATGTAATTCAACATGTTGTCATATACCATTGTCTTCAGGGATGGGAGCTGAAGCTCGATGAGAAGCCAATGACGACGCTCCAAAACAGGGATAAACACATGCAATCATAAATAATTGCGCACATCAAATAAAAATTATGAACACCTTTAAAATATTCAAAAAATAAATACTAACCTTATCGACCTCCCACCATGTAGGATAAAGTTTAGCTTTTCCATTACCCAACGTATATGAAGAATCTCTCGGATCCTTCAAGTGAGCTACGTGAAAAGACGTCGGCATAATAGTCCATCGAGTATTTTTTATTTTCTTCAATTTCCTTATTACTAGAAACGTGACACCCATGCATCAATATGTTGTTTTATAAAAAAATACATATATTAGTGACTTTATTAATAAATTTTAAAAAAATTAATCAAAATGCAATATAAGAAAACCCCCTTCGAAATAACCATTATCTTCAACCCCTAATAAAATGCCCCACCAAGACCGATCAAGAAACAAATGCATAATATCGTCGAGTTTGCATATGTCAGAATAACACCCCTGGCTCCGCTCATGTAGATAAAAATCAACTACGATCTTAGCCGAAAGGGTATTATCCGTAATTATGTCCGATAGTGTTTTCCTCTCCTCCTGAGGAATGGTACTGGCCGGTGACAATTGTCGTTTCGATGTCAAAATAATTTCCTTCTTCTCGGATAATAAATAAAGGAAAATTCGTAGCGTAGAGAAGTAGGGTCGAATCCACAGGGACTTGGAAATTTCTTAATTTATGTTTGATTGGTCTATGTCAGGCGTGAAAGATAGTAAAATGGGGGGTTGGTAGAATGAGATTTAAGTAGTAATAAAAACGATTAAATAAATAAAAGCAATTAAAGTAAAAAAAAATAAGAGAATAAAGGTTATGAATAAATACGGTAAAAATAGCCTCAAGCTTTGCTTTGACTCAATTTCCTTTAGATCATCGAATAAGATTTTCTCTTCGGGATTCACGTCGGTTACTTTGTCTACGAGGGCTATCCTCGTGACTCTATCTTGTATACCGAATACCCAAGACAATCTTTGATTCCGGCTTCAGGAATTGATTCTATCAACATCTATTGTCGTAAACCAATTACCGTTTAAGTTTGTGGCGATCGACTCGGATTGTTGCTTCTATAACCTTCAATTCTGATCTCAAATCCCTCTTGGCGAAGCTATATTGCCAAGTGTGTTCCCAGGAAGTCGAATTGCTTTCTATAAGCCGAATCTTCCTCCCACACGTTTAATCGCAACAACCTCTTAACCAAAGTCAATCTTTGATTTTGAAAACTATTTTGATTTTGAAAAAGAATAAGCACAGAGATTGAGAGAGATTTCCGAAGATATTAGGGACCTGTTTCAATTCTCCCGTTAGAATTGAGTCATCGCGACAACTCTCGGCTTAAGAAAAGTTTAGCTAAGCATGACAAAAGTCATACTTAGCATATTAAAAACAAGTTTGAAAATAAAGAAAAATAAAAGAACTTGAAAAGGAAAAAGAGAAAAACTTTTATAAAAACTAGAGAGAAAAGAAGAATGTATTCAAATGATGAGTTTAGGCTTACCCCAAGTGGGTATTTATAGCCTCTCAAAGTCTAAAGGATAAGCAAAGAAAATAATTAAATAATACAAAAGATAATTGTTTTTAAATTTAAATTCAAACTTAAACTAGTCTCCTAATGCAACTCTACTCGTCAATCTTCCAGAAGACGTGCGAATAAAGTCTTCTAGAAACCGCTGCTGACTGGACCTTCTAGAAACTGCCACGTCAGACCGCGTCGTGCCTAGAGTCATGCCCATGTCTCCAGCCGTGACCAAATAATAAAAAAATGCAAAATTCGCCCGTTTTATCACTAATTCTGGAAAGTAAAGACCTGCACGAAAATAGGCATAACACATCCAAATCAGCAGCAATAACTCCACAAAATCAAAGAAATAACGAACAAAGATTAACGATTCTGAACACTCATCAAATTCCCCCTCACTTATCTCATGCTTGTCCTCAAGTATGATTAACCAATTAGTCAAACACTTCATTAAACGTTCTTTGTCAAGTTTCATATTCAAGGAAGCAAGTTAGAGACCACAATAACTATTCAAGTCAAGAAATCAATCAATTGAACATCACCAATTAGAGCAAGTCAAGTGCAATTGTAATATCCATTCATTCATTAATCTCAATGCTCATAACTCAATACCTTACCGGGATTCACTCAAATCACTCAATGTGTTTTGGGTAAAGAAACTCTCAATGTCAAAATTGACACGGTATTACCATAAGCCTGCAAGTAAATCAAATCTCCACTACTAATAAGAACAAAATGCATAAATCAAAAGGTCTTTTATTGGTTGTAACGGGGCTTAGGTAAAGGTGGGGAAAAGGCTAAAAATATGGCTAAAAAATCAAGGCAAGGAACTAACAAATAATAATCTCAACTCCATCAAAGCATTAGCACAACAAGATAAAAAGACAACATATCAAACAACAAATTTCTTGTCGAAATGCATTTTTTTTCTTTTTCACACTTTTGTTGTTTTGTTTTCCATTTTTTTTCTTTCATGCCTTTTTTTTCTCTCTTTTTCTTTCGAACAACTTTTTTTTCGAACTGTTTTTTTTTCCATTTCATTCAACATTTTTTCCGATGGAGAATACAACGGTAAAAGTATTCACTTGCCCTGAAAAAGGTAAAAAAGATGGATAAAATAAAAAGACTCGGGTTTATGAATAAGGTGAAAACAAAGAAACGAGAATATGCTCAAAAGTGGTTAGCTAAGGGGAAAATGCATAAGTAAACTTTTTAGTGGGGAAACGGAATGGTTAATCCTAAGGTGCCCAAATCATCTTTAAGCATCATGTTCATGTGTAATCTCGACAGTATTTAACATGCAGGTTCTAGAATA